AGAGAAATTCAGTTTGGAATACTATTGGAGTCTTATTCAAGTAGAAATTCCATTTGGAAATTCTACTGGGAATTGTTTGTATTGAACTTGAAGATATTGAAATTATGGATCGGGAAGAAAAGTCGCCACATTTTCTCTAACCTATCGCTAGCTGGCCGCTCGACCAACACCTGCAGCTTTTCTCCCGAGACTTGGTCGTACGCAGGTCGCCCACCTGGCGCTTGAGTGACGGACTTGTCACTAGTTTATAGCTCGAGCAACAGGATTATCCGACTCAGACCATTTTCACGTTTTAATATCTTTTTGACATTCTACTTCAACTACAACTTATCTATTAAGGTTTGGACGTTGCCTATAAATAATAGGTTCTTCTATACAATTTTATAGTGTGAGAAAAATGATTACTAGGTTTTAGGATCATTGTAATATTTCTCCATCTTCATTGTTTGTGGTGCAATAAAATCTCATAATTCATCTGTCATATTTTTTTGTCTTCTTTTATTCTTTTGCTTGTGATTAAATACTTCATTATTTGCTATATAATTTCAATATCTCAATCCGATAGTTGGTTTCGTATCAAGTGGTACCGTGAACCTTGAATTCCCAACCTTTGGTATAAGAGATTTTGGGCATAATTAACACAACACTCTTAAAATTAGTTAAGGGAATGGATTGTTGAAATTATCTAGTGGAGACACTGAGACTATCAAGGCACGGCTTCTATAATTGTTGATTGAACGTCTATATTTATCTTCTGTACCAAAAGATTTAGTGAGTAGATTGTTTCAAGTGCCCAATAATCCATAATTATATACTCATGAATTAGATATTCATTTTTTAAGTGTATTACGTGTTTCTCCAGATTCAATTTCATCACAATCAATTCAAGAACTCTAGAAAATTACAGAAATGAAAGAGATAATTGAAAGTACCCGTCCTTTGGCAAAAAGAGAAAGACCCAAATTGACACAAGATTCAGCTGTAGGAGTACTGGCTTCAGCTGAAGGAGAAGAGCAATAGATAAGGGAACCATGGGTGTTTCTCTCCAAATCTAAACAAGTCCAAAAGGGAAGGGGTAATGGTTTTCTGTTAAGATTCCACGGTATTGACGTTTCTTTGGCAAATGAATTTGGTGGTGGGGAGTAGATGGAGTGGCGGTGGACGACGTAGTGGAGGTGGTGCAGGGCAAGAGTTGCCGCAGCCATTGAGATATTACAGATTTACAAGCAAGAAAAACAGTTTATCCAAATGGCAACGGTACCCATTCGATTTTTGGGAAATTTTCATATAGTCCTCAAACCTTCACGGTAGTTGTAATTGGATCTCAATCTAATTTTGTTTGATAAAAAGAATATCACCATTTGCGGTGTGTGTATGTTTTCCCAGAATTTGCTATTTAAAAAATAACGTGCTCTCTATTATTTCTCTCTATTCCCGATTCCCAAATCAAAATTCCCCATATCCTCAAAACCCAACACTGAAAATTTTCGCGACTAATCTTTGAGATACAGAGTTTGTTAATTTTCTCTATTTTATATGAAGCTTACTTTTGGAAAAAGAGAGTTCTCATTGGTTTTATGTTTTAGCTGTTACTGCTGTTCCCCGTGTGATTTAGGATTTCTTTTGATACATCAATTGAATTGATTTTATTCTATTTGCATAGTTTGATTCTCTTTGGCAATCTTGATTCCTGCCAACAAATTAAATAGATGGAAAATGTAATTTATTATCGTTTCCAGAAGATAAATCTAAATGCTTTAGGCTTTTCTTTACTTGCTTTGGATCAATTTCATGTTTCATGTTAACATTGCTCGAGATATTACATGTTTAATTAGTAACGTGAACATGTTTAGAAGTAGTTTAAGGGGGGTTGTCCTCAATTAAAATTGTGATATATTTTAAAAATCCTTCTAAATTTAGGTGCCTTCAATTGAGATTTTAATGAATTTTAGAATTTAAGTGTCCCCAATTGAAATTTTAATGAAATCCTTCAAATTTTAGGTATCTTCGATAACTGGTAAATTTATAAAGATTTTATTAATGGATGGATTTTAAAAGATTTGGATGAATTTCAAGTTTAAAAATACATATAACCAAATCTTTAGAAATTTCACCATATTTAATAAAATTCTTATGAAATTTGTGAAAATCTATTCAAATCCACGAAATATATAATCTTTTAAAATTCATCAAAATCTTAGATGAGGACACTCGGTGAAACTATTATTCCAATAATATTAGCAAGAAAAACAGTTTATCCAAATGGCAACGGTACCCATTCGATTTTTGGGAAATTTTCATATAGTCCTCAAACCTTCACGGTAGTTGTAATTGGATCTCAATCTAATTTTGTTTGATAAAAAGAATATCACCATCTGCGGTGTGTGTGTGTGTGTGTTTTCCCAGAATTTGCTATTTAAAAAATAAAATAAAATAAAAAATAACGTGTTCTCTATTATTTCTCTCCATTCCCGATTCCCAAATCAAAATTCCCCATATCCTCAAAACCCAACACTGAAAATTTTCGCGACTAATCTTTGAGATACAGACTTTGTTAATTTTCTCTATTTTATACGAAGCTTACTTTTGGAAAATGAGAGTTCTCATTGGTTTTATGTTTTAGCTGTTACTGCTGTTCCCCGTGTGATTTAGGATTTCTTTTGATACATCAATTGAATTGATTTTATTCTATTTTAGTTTTTTTTGCATAGTTTGATTCTCTTTGGCAATCTTGATTCCTGCCAACAAATTAAATAGATGGAAAATGTAATTTATTATCGTTTCCAGAAGATAAATCTAAATGCTTTAGGCTTTTCTTTACTTGCTTTGGATTTTCAATTTCATGTTTCATGTTAACATTGCTCGAGATATTACGTGTTTAATTAGTAACGTGAACATGTTTCGAAGTAGTTTAAGTAAATTTCATGTGCCGCAATTTAAATGTGAATCCTGATGTTCATAGTCAGTTGGTTATTAACATAAGAATAATGAAAATTTATAGAATAACAATTTCCTTTTTGGGCTGTGCTACATGTAAATAATAATTTACATAATGATTTACTAATAAATGATGCGTCGAGATTTAATTGGATCAAAATCTCATCAATCTTTCATCACTTACATTTTGACATATCATCGTAAAATATTATGTAAATAGTTATGTACGAGAAGAATTTTCCTTTCTACACTGTGTCGGTGCACGCACAATCAATTCATATTTTTATTGTTCAAAACAAATTATTAAATGTTCTTTTAATTTGCAAAGGCATTTTTATATGGGAAGATTACATATTCAAGAGTATAAGTTTAGTCTATTTCAAAAATAACAACACAAGTTTAAAGTTACCAAAATCAGATTTTTTTTTAATTTTTTTTAAATTTTTATTTATGAAATAATAAATTATTAAATTAATTTATTATTAAATATTTAATTATAATATAATGTAATTAACTCATCTCACCTTCACCACCCCTACAGCTCCGGCGGCCGTTAATTTAATTATAATGTAATATAATTAACCCATCCCACTTTATGACTTTCACCACCCCTACCGCTCCGGCGACCGTTCCGATCACCGCCCTACTCCGGCGAACTTTCCGACGACCGTTCCGACGTGGATTTTTCCGACGACTGCTCCACTATATTTTTTGTACGGTTAACATGTTTTTTGTACGGTCATAACTCAGGTCACAAGTCACAAGTCATAGCCCATGTCACAAGTCACAGGTTAAGAGTCACAACCCAGGTCACAAGTCACAAATCAAGTCACAGGCCAGGTCACAAATCACAACGCATGATTGTTTGTTTGTAATGATTGATAACATGATAATTTTTATCTCTTAATCACATATTTTCAAATTTATTAGTCACATGTTAATTTTTAATCACAGTCCCACTACCGAT